AAACCAACCAACTAACCTAACCCGCACGACTTGATCTGGGTTGAGTTGGATTGAGATTTTTCAAACCGTATACATTAGGTTAGATTATTCAAATGCCTTCAACCTGATCAACCAACACGTATCCACCCCTTGTGCACGTTGTAGCGAGTAATTCCAATACCTCTACCATTTAACACTCTTTCCAACCAAGTACCCCTTCAAGGTTTATAAGTTGCACCATAGCTCATACAGGATGATTGACTTGTTTCCTCTAGGCTATCTGAACTGCCAAGCTGCTTAATTACGACCACACTAGCCTTAAGCTTGGCTCATAGTCAAACAGATTGATTTAGCTCAACTCAAATGGTCAAGATGTGCAATAAATCATCTTGTCTTGTTTATATCTTTGTACATAATCATTATAATGACAAATATTAAGGCCTCCCACAAATAGGAATGAGATAAAAAAAATGGTTAGACAAAGAGGACTTTGCCTAGCTACTTTAGTTGTGTATGTTTTTGGTTATTGGAAAAAGGAAGAAATGAAACGTCACTTTCATGGGGTCCAGTTACATCGATGTGTAGGTTTTTTTTCCCATCTACAGAAAACGCTCACCTAAACATCACTACACATGACTTCTGCTTTTATAAAATCTAAGAAACCATATTTAATAGACAACGTTTACAGCTAATATGAGTAAATTTTGTATGTATACGACCTTTTTCAGTAATCCTATAACAAGTAGCAGATCTTTCATGTTAAATTCATATAAGTCAATTCTTCCGTATCTGTCGAGCACAAAACGATAGGAAGTAAATACTCGATTTCTTAGAAATTGTTCATATGCAAAAATCAACCCTTTTGATCATGTAATCATCTTGTAATTTTTTTTTATTAACCTGGATATCCGMCCCGCTATGCGAGCCGACTAATTCCAGAGCGACCACCTGCTTTGCAGATAGTCCGGAGTCATCGCATTTGAACCTCCGTGGCCACAAGGGGATTTTTTTTGTTTCTCATTGGATTTGAAATTGGAACCTACTGATACTTTTGACCTTTGTAGTCAAGCTTAAACCAATCAGACACTACCCTTGTGGTTCATCTTGTAAATTTATTATTAGTGGGATTTATTGAATTTACACCTTGTAATATAAAAAAATATTTAATTTCTTTTATACTTTCCAAATTTATAGAAAATACCAAATGGAAAAAAACAAAAAACTGGAAAAGAAAATTAAGTTTCTTTTATAAAAATATATTCCAAATTTAAAAAGACGCCAAAAGCAAAAAAATGCAAAAAGAAAAAGAGGAAAAGGAATTACTTATCAAAATTTTAACGTATTTATTGATTTTATTTTATATTATGTAATTTTAGATTTAAAGTAATTCATGAGATTAACTAAAAATGAAAACAATAAAATTCATATTAATAAATGTTTTCTGAAATTTTAAGTGGTAAACGTATCACTTAATACCTCTTAATTTAAATCCACCATCTATCAAATGGTTCATATTTTGAGGGTTGGAAGAGATTTGTTAGCAAAAACTATTTATCTTTTATATTTTTGTAAAAAAATATTTATCTTTTATATTTTTGCACTAGCTTGACCGTTTCAGATTTCAGACTTCAGACGTAAAAACAAACAATCTTACTGATCCAGATTTCAGACTTCAGGCCCACCTTTTATAAATCAGAAATGAAATCAGATTTCAGACTTCAGCACTTCTTAAAAAACAAACACCATCTTCGTCTTTATTTATTTTATATTAAGAGTGAATCAGAACCAACAATTATTATACAGATTTTCTAAACAATTTCGAGACAACTACATGTTAAAATTCGTTTATATAGTTGTCAATTTTGATTTATTGAACTTCTTTGACAAAACATGAAAGTGTGACAATCTTGAGAATTAATAAATTATTTGCTATTTTATATGATTTTTTTTAATCTAAGATTAAGATTTAAAATATCAATTAACATATATCAGGTTTATAATGTGTGTGTTCCACATATATTTGTTTCACAATATAAACATTCTTAGTCTGTTTATGAAACAAAAGTTACATGTACAAAGTTTCATAATGTGAACCGCATACATATAAAGTAAACATATTGTGAAACAAATATATGTTAATTAATACATTAAATAGTAACCATAAATGAGAAAAAGATTATGTAAAACAATACATTAAGATAAAAGTTCTCACTGTTATCATAATATAACATATTTATGTTATAGTTTTTAAATATTTTTTCTTCATATTTAACAAAAATTCTTAAAAATAGCAATTAAATTTCTTTTTCAATAAAAAATGTGAACTTTTTACACAATGCAATTCACGTAATAGTTAATCAAATTACAATGTATTAGTTTTTTTTTAAGATTTTATAATTATGTGAGATCTATAAAATTTAATTTAGATCACATAAAAATTAATTAAAAATATAATATAATTTAATTTAATTTAAAAAATTCTTATCTCCCATCTTTTCTTTATACCATACACGTACACACATTATTAAATATGCATATAAGACGACATTAGACACTTTTAGAAATATTGTTACAATTTGTGAACGTAATTCAAATTAACGATATTTGATATAACTTGTGAATATGTTGTGAGCACCAACTACAACGAAACTATATCTAAACCATCACTTGTGAACACATTACGAACAATCTAATACAGAATTCCTTAAGATTGTTTTTGTTGTATTCACGTTGTGTACGTATTTAATTATGTATGTGTATGCATGTATCATACAGGATAGAAGAGACACGTTTATAGAATTTGAATTTTTCCTAAAAATTATATTTCTTATGAATGTCACAGATCTTACAAATTGTTGAGTTCTTAAATAATTAAACCCTTGCATTATATATATATATATAAAAGAGGGAGAGGGAGATAACAAAATAAAAAATAATGGTTTTACAAAAAAAAAAGAATTTTTTTTTCATATAATTAATAATTTTATAACAAAACATGAAGTAATACAAATAATAAGATTACGAAAATATATAAATAAATTATATTTTTTATGTTAATTCAAAATAAATAATAAAATTTTGGTCTCTACGATCTCACGCACTAGCAACTCTTGTTCCTCTTCTAAATTAATTATAGTTTTAGTCATTATGGTTGCCACTTTGTTTCACTTCTAGTCCCTCTGATTAACTCCAGCTAAAAATTCCGGTAAATCAAGGGTATCATTCATATATATATATATACTTGGGATCATGTGAGACCAAGGGTTTTTCATGAGATCCGTAAGACCAATTCTCAACCATTGGATTTGATCTACAATCTGAACATTCATAATCACAAAATTGCCACGAAACTTCTCAATAATTACAAAATTACCACCGTACAACTTTAGACTATTAGATCATTAGCTTATAACGTTGATGAATGAATATAAATTGGTCTTACGGGTCTCACGAAAAACCATTGGTCTCACGTGAACCCAACCCTATATATATATATATATATATATATAGAGAGAGAGAGAGAGAGAGAGAGATAAAAAAATAAAAAATAATGGTTTTACAGAAAAAGAATTTTATTTGTTTCATATAATTAATAATTTTATAACAAAACATGAAGTAATACAAATAATAAGATTACGAAATTATATAAATAAATTATATTTTTTATGTAAATTCAAAATAAATAATAAAATTTTGGTCCCTATGATTGCCATACACTAGCAATTTTCGTCCCTATTCTAAATTAATTATAGTTTTGGTCATTATGACTATCACTTTGTTTCACTTCTAGTCCCTCTGATTAACTCCAGTTAAAAAATTCCCCTAAATCAATGGTATTTTAGTCTTTTTTGTATTTTTTTTTTCTATTTAAAAATATTTTTTTTACTCTTCTTGTCTTTTATCATTAATGAACCCCATCGCTTACACCTAATCCCAACCCTTTCAGCTTCCCCCCACCCTCCGTTCGAAAACCCAATTACAGAAAAGGAATCATTGATCTCAAATCAAACAATCCACCATTGTTGATCATGAATAATAAAACATAACAGAAGGCTTGAGAGATGCAATTATGTTTCTAAGGGTTAAGTTAAGGAAACGAGGTAGAAGGCGGTTGGAGATGTTGCAGGTAAGGGCACGGTGGGTGGTTCCTGCGTCGAAACGAAGAGATGCGTGTGGTTTTTCTTTTTGACGGTTTTGGTTTTAATGTTCCAAATAACCTACATAAAAAATGTTACAAAAAAGACGGGTTTGTGGACCATAAAAGAAGAGGGAAGCTTCAACCAGAGTTTTGCTCTGTACTGAAGATGGGCAGTGGCGACCTTTGTGTATGTTCCACTCCTCGGTTTTTGGTCCATCTCCGATGACTATCGATCTAGAGGAGCTGTAAGTTCAGGAAAATGTTTTTGCCCTAGAGAAAGATGGTAAATTGGTAGGGGTCGTAAGTTTTTTGTCCCATGATGAAATACTACGAAGAAAAGGTTTGGGGCAATGGCTTGGGTTTTGCCACCGAATAGGGGGTTGCCACCAGCTCAAGAATTCGATTTTGATTTTAATGATGCATGTGTTCTCGACGTTTGTATTCAAATGATCTTTGGGTTCTTTAATTTGTTTAGGATTGTGGTTTTGTTAATGGGGTCTTTGGTTTGTTAGGTTCGCTAAATAAAAATGAAACAAAGTGGCAACCACAGTGACCAAAACCGTGATCAGTACACAAGAGGGATAAGAGTTGCTAGTAGGTATCAACCAGAGGGATCAAAAGTGTAATATACTCTAAATTGGTTAAAAAACAATGAAATTGAATGGTTAAACAATATGTTGTAGACTCCTCCTATCCACCGAAAACAGTGTGTATAAATATAAAGAAAGGACAAGCGTGACACCCGCTCTGATACTATCACTTCCTTTTTTTTCCTTTCTGTTTTCTTCTGAAACCCTCTTTCTCTTTCTCTCTCTCTGTTTGATACATACATATATACATACCCCCCCCCCCCTAAACCTATACGTATAGAGAGAGAGAGAGAGAGAGAAACAGAGTAGAAGAATTCAAGGACCAATGGACGATTGTGTGAGGAGGAGGAGGATGATCACTACCCTCTCTACTTTACTCCTTTTCTCTTCACTCTAAATCAACCAACACCAACCCCAATGGCCATTTTATCACCATATTCATCTTCTTTCTTAGACGCACTCTTCTGCAACGAAGAACAAGATCATCAATGGAGTCTTGATGAAGATGAAGATGGAGATGAAAATGAAATTGCACAAACCACCCTCACAGATTCCTCCGATCTCCATCTTACCCCCCTCGACCACCAACAAGATTTGTTCTGGGAAGATGAGGAACTCGTCTCTCTTTTCTCCAAAGAAGAAGAACAACAAACACATTCTACTTTAGCAGATCCTTGTGTTTTTGATGCTCGAAAAGAGGCTGTGGATTGGATCTTGAAGGTCAAAGCTCATTACGGGTTCCTTCCTCTTACCGCCATTTTAGCCATCAATTATCTTGATCGGTTCCTCTCTAGTCTCCATTTTCAGAAAGACAAGCCATGGATGATCCAGCTTGTTGCTGTGAGTTGTCTCTCTTTAGCTGCCAAAGTTGAAGAAACTCAAGTGCCACTCCTCCTAGATCTTCAAGTATGAACCCATATCAACTTTATCCAACAAAATTTGATCAAAAAACGATCTGGGTTTTCGAAATCATTCTACTTTTGAAATGGGTTTTCAAAATCATTCTTCAATCTCTTAGGGTTTTTGTTTTCTTGATTCTTTGTAGGTGGAAGATAGTAAGTTCTTGTTCGAGGCCAAGAACATACAAAAAATGGAGCTTTTGGTGATGTCGACACTGAAATGGAGGATGAACCCAGTAACCCCAATCTCATTTCTTGATCACATTGTAAGAAGGCTTGGATTAATACATCATCTCCATTGGGATTTCTTCAAGAAATGTGAAGCTCTCATTCTTCGTTTAGTCTCTGGTACGTGTGTGTGTGTGTGTATATATAGTCAACTCAGAGATAGATCCTTGAAGAACATTGAACATATATCTAATACAATTACTTGTTTGTTTCCATTTTCAAGATTCAAGATTCATAAGCTATAAACCATCTGTGTTGGCCACAGCTACAATGCTTGGAGTTGTAGATGAAGTTGATCCTCCCAACTCCATTGACTACAAAAGTCAACTTCTGGATCTTCTCAAAACCACCAAGGTTTGTCTCTTTTGGTTTGGGTACAACTCTCTTTGCTTATGGAACTACCATTTGATGCATCAACAAATGCTAAGGAAGAACGTGTACTTTGTTTGAAAAAGTCACACTTCCATTTGGGTTACTTATCATGCTTAAAACATGTACTTTGTGCATCCACTCATGTACTCTTTTTCCAATTGAAGAAGGGTCATTTTGTCTTTTTACCGTATCTTAAATGTATCTCTCTCTCTTATCAAGAAAATGCTGGCATTTGTTAGGAATAAAACTGTGAATAAGAGTGGTAAATATTTTGAAAATATGTGAATCAACTAGTTATTCATTGTGAATAAATGATGTATTTATATTATGAATCATGAAAATGCATAATATTCATAAATGTTTTAGGGTTATTCATCATGAATAATTTATGTAATAGTTGATTTTGTCATTTGAATCTGTCCCATGACGATGGTATATATGTAAAGAAAGATTAAAACTCAATGCACATATGAATTGTCCTTATTTAAGCGTATATTTACTTATATGCAGGAGAGCGTAAACGAGTGTTATGCATTCGTCATCGACCTATCTTACAATCAGAAAAAGCGAGAACACGAGACGTCAACACCAACTTACCCTGCTAGCCCAGTTGGCGTAATCGATTTCACTTGCAACGAAAGTTCAAACGATTCATGGGGATTCAGTTTCCACCAACCTTCGTTCAAGAAAACCAGAATTGATCAACAATTCGGGTTTGGTTCCCTGATAAACTGTTTCGAACCATTTGTGAGCCCTCTTCAGCCATAAATTCGTGGAGGGTAGCTGTAGTTGTACGAACAAGCACGGTATTAAATATTGGTCCACTGCTGCTATATATAAACGAAACGACGACCTGTAGTATATAGGTTAAAAGGAGCAATAGAGTGGTCAATGGAGAGATACGTTATGATGGTCGGTCTATTTCGCTATATATTATGGTTTTAGCTTTTATTTTTAATTTTAATTTAATGTGAGATAAATTAAATTGGGGCAATGTGATGTCTTTTTCAAGGTAGCGATGGACATAAATTTGTTGAGAAATTAAATTCATGGGATATTTGTAGTAAAAATATAACACAAAAGTAGTTTCGTTCATCAATTTATGTTGTGTAGGTCTCCTTGTTGTAGTGCAACACATGGTCCACTGCTTTTTATGGCTACATAGCTGTCATGCAATTCTCACCATGCATGCATTAGATATGTAGATCATACCATGCATCCCACGAAACTGCTTTTTTTACATTATTTATTATTATTATTATTATTATTATTATTATTATTATTATTATTATTACTAGAAGGGTAATAAAAATGCAGCGAGATACATTTTGATTTTAATATTTTATTTTATTTTTTATTTCAGTTGATGTTATAGTATGGTCTTATGTAATTTTGTAAAAGCGATGGAGTTTTTTTTTTATAAAATATTAATTTGAAGATATCATGAAAATTTGACAAAAATATCGATATTAGTATCAAATTAACTATTTAAAATTCATATTTTAGTATTTTTATTGTAAATTTTTTATTATAATTTAATTTAGGTTCAATAACGACGTAATTTATATTTGGTTTAATAATGTAACTTTCTTATAAAGATAATAATTAATTATTTTGTTAGAAATCGATAATTATCCTAATTATATTTTAGATTTTTTATATTTTAAAATGAGATGTTTATCCTCTATTTGATTATATTTATCCGCAGTTAGTTACACAAATTCAAACATGGAGCTTTAATAAGTTATACTTGTGCATAATTTACTTGTAATCTTCAATTTTAAGTAATATGCATCAATATACGATGCTTCATACATAAAAAAAAAATTTAAGAGTTATTGTCAAATGTTTTAAAATATAGTATAGATTATTATTATTATTATTATTATGTGTTTAAAATTAAATTAAATTAATATCGCTTCAAAAATAAGATGGTTTAATATAAATATCAAATATATTTGGTAAAAAGCTAATTATCGAGACTCTCAACCTTTCCATGTACGGAATCCGTCTTTAAGGGTACTAATGTGAGAGAACATTTTTCAGCTTGCTCAACAGCTGAGGCTAGTAGGATTTGAAGGGGATGGGGGATTGAACCCGATACCTGTCTTGTATTTGGGTAAAGTCCCCACACCATTTTACCAACTGAGTTACATGCTAGATATGAGGATATATCTCAAGCTCGTTTTTGACACATTTTTGTATTCTTATAAACATAAATATATGTTAAATCATACATTGAAAATATAAATGTTAAGTCTTGATATTGATGTGTTCGGAAAAAAAATAGTAGGTATGAGTACATTTAGGAGTGCATCTAAAAACATATATTTTAGTCATGACAAGCAATGTGGCTCAAGGTTCTTTTTTGACGTCACGTTATATTCATGCACGCCATGGCATGATGCGGGATTATTAAAAGACGTTAAATGAATTCTTTTATCGTTTTTGTTTTTTAGTATATGGGTTGAGTTTCGTTGAGAAGCAAAGTTAAGATGAAAAGTATAAGAAGAGATCTCCACATTCGGATCCACATTAGGATGAGATGCATTGTATTGATCCCCGTGTCAAACATGATTCATGGGTCGGTTTGATGTGGGATTATTAAAAGACGTTAATTGATTTAAAACGTAGGTGTTTGTGTTTATATGATAACAAATTATTTATCATCACTATTTCCAATTTCTACAAAGTTAATAATTTTGGCGATGATACATAAAATATTGTATGTAATCGTTATATGTAGTTGAATTTGATACATAAAATATTGTTAATCTTAAAATCGATTACCTCATTGTAATCCTTTTAAATTTATAACTTCAAATATATATATATATATATATATATATACTCTTGGGATCATGTAAGATCAAAGGTTTTTCGTGAGACCAATTCTCAACCCTTGGATTAGATCTACAATCTTAAAATTCATAATCACAAAATTGCCACGAAACTTCTCAATAATCATGAAATTGTCACCGTGCAACTTTAGACCATTCGATCATTAGCTTATAAAGTTGATCAATGAACATAAATTAATCTTACGGGTCTCACGAAAAACTCTTTGGTCTCACGTGAACCCAACCCTATATATATATATATATATATATATATATATATATATATATATATATACACACACACACACACACACACACACACTATATTATAAAGCATTTGACAAGAACTCTTAAAAATCATCTTTTATGCATGAAGTACTGTTAGTTAATACATATTACTTATTATTCAGTATTACAAGTACATTGTGCGTAAGTACAATGTACTAAAGCTCTATTTTTTTTAATTCGTGTACCTAATTACAGGTACATTGTATGCAAGTATAATTTTTTTTTTACGAATCTGAGACTGTTTTAGTAAACCTTAGAAAAAATGACTGGTAAGTGAAACCATTTAACTGAAATGACTATTTTAATTAATTTTCGTATAATATAATGTAAGTAGGTGCAGAAAAATGTGTCACAATTTATCATAAGACAATTTTATCTATACTATATTATAAAGTATTTGATAAAAACTCTTAAAAATTATTTTTTATGCATAAAATACTGTTTATTAATGCACGTTACTTAAAACTCAAGATTACAAGTATATTGTGCGTAAGTACAACTTATTAAAGCTCCATATCTAAATTCGTGTAACTAACTGCAAATAAACATAATAAAATACATGATAAACATCTCATTTTGAATATAAAAAACCTAAAATATAATTAAGATAATTATTGAGTCCTAACAAAATACTTAATTATTATCTTTATAAAATGTTATATTATTAAACCAAAAATAAATTATTTTATTATTAAACTTAAATTAAATTATAATTAAAAAATAAATTAAAGAAATTACATAAAAATGACTTTTAAATAGTTGATTTGATATTAACATTGATATATATATTTTTTTCAAATTTTTATTTTATTCAAAAAATAAAATCATTATTGTTTTCTTAAAAACACACAAAATCGTATTGCAACGTCGACAGAGACAAAAAATAAAATAGAACATTAAAATCAAAATGTATCTCATTACATTACACGAATACCCTTGTAGTTATTAAAAAACAAAACTAATAACTCAAGAACAAAGACTAGAAACATGACAATAACTCATGTAAAATTAAAAAAAAAAATCTTTATAATGTTAATAGTTATTATATATTATAAAACTTTGTCCATTATTTTCCCACCAAAAATAAATAAATGTTAGACACGTGTCAGAAGCCCTCTTGCTCCATCTGTGTTTTTATGTTTGCTAGAATATCTTGGGACATCGCTATTGTATACTACTTTCCAACCAATATTTGAATAAATTTGTATATATATCATTGTGTTTGCTGACCCTTTTATTCTTCTTTTTTGGGTAAACTACATATATAGTAAATTAAATTCACCTCTACAATCTCGATCGCTAATTAAGGCCGTTTACCAAATGCTTATTTGGGTAAACGCTTACCAAGTTATATTCTTTTACCGGATTAATATAGTAATGACCAAAAATCTTACCTGGTAAGAGAAAATGCACGGACTGAGAATCTTACCCTAAGTGATGACGACGACTCTTACCACCGTTAGTGCTTACGGGGTAAATTGTTACATACGATGTTGTTTTGATAGACTAAAATCTTATCCAATAAATATGCAATAGAGTTAAATTTTACCGTTAAGTGCTTACCAGGTAAGTGTTTAGTTAAACACCCCCTTAATTAATAAAACATTATTACTGATTTTTTTTAAAATTTTAAATTATTAAATTAAAAATGAATTTTTAATCATCGATATTAATTACGTCTATCGTCTTTGTTGTATCTGATTTTTCATACTTACGGTAGTTCTTACTAATAAAGTTGAGTTAATATAGTTAACTCAATGGCTATTTTGGTCTTTTTATACCTATTGTTTTTTGTTTTTTCTTTCTATTAAAAAATAAAAAGTATATTATATAATATAATCTAACATTTTTTTTATGTTATATATACGTACGTAGATACATACATACAGACATATAACGCCAAGTCGTTAATTTGAGGATTAAACTATTAATCACCGACTATCTTACATTTTTTTGAAGAGGGTATATGTTTGATAACTCTCATTTTGAGTGTTATTTGAACATCGTTTGTGTGTTTTTCTTCTCTTTTAGTGTGTGTCTTTCTTATATGTGTTCGTGTTTATCCTTTTTATTTATTTGTTTTTATTTAGAGTTGTTGAGGATAAAAGATTGAATTTTTTGATGTTTGAACGCATCCAATTTTGGTTTAAACGTTGGACTGTGGAAAGTGACCACTTTGTTCGCCAGTGTGGTGAGTGACGTAAATTCGAGGACAGCTGAAAAATATCAATTTTTGCATGTATTTTTTGCCCATTTTAGCTGAATTATGGCATTATTGAAGTTAAGCTCTAGAGATTAAGAAAGATGAAGAAAGGCAAAATTAAAAGGGAAAATCACCAAAATAGCCAATTTATACCTAATGTATTAACAATAAACCATTTTCAACCTTTTTTTATATATAACAAAATAGACACTAAGATCGCCCAGGGG